CCCCCTCCACCATGTTCACTTCATCCAATCTGGCCCTCTTTGAAAAAAGTTTGGACACCCCTGCCTTAGGGTGACGGCAATGTCCAAGAACACAGACCCAGATCAATGAATGCTTCCAGCAGGGGAAAGATCTAAAAAGGTACGTTGCCTGAAAATATGTCAAGGTCAGGAATTCCTTCTGCAGCATCTCTAATGTGATTAAATGTCTCCGGTCTCACAACCATTCCAGCAGAGGTTACATGAAAATAGGGGCCCGTTATTAGCACAGACAATTATGTGCATGGACAGAAAAATGATCTGGATTCATCTGTATTGTAATCCTAAATAATTCTGGTCTGGTTCTGCAATGGAGTGACTGTATTTTCACCAACTCTGTTCCTATTAATAGTCTTCATAAGAACTGCTTCATCCACAGAAGTATTAAAAAAAAAAAAAAAAAAAAAAAAAAAAAATTGCATTTACTCAGGGTTTAGACTGTCCATTGAGCTGTGCTGATCTGCACAGAACGCAGTCTCAAGACAAGGGGACTTACAAAACAATGATGCCTTGTTAACACCATACATGTAAAGTGGTATGTACTGTGTAAAAATGCAGCATGGGTGCCTAATGGGATTGGCCTATCTCACCGATTCCAGGAGGCAGTGTGTTACAAGATTCAGCAAAGGCACGCCACCAGTCTTGATATGTCTGTGCACATGCATGGGGATTTCTGGCTCCCATATGCCAGAAACTAGTGGCATTTGTCCGCATGTTTAGAAATCCCCCCCCCCCCGCATGTCAAGTCTCTGCCAGGTCCATGCCAATAACATACTGAACTATGAAGATGGTGTCACAGAAGAGGGGCAGGCGGAAGGGACTGATGTAGAGATGACGCTCAGCTTTAAAAGTAGAAGTGTACATTTAATGCACTTACTCTTGACCCTTGGTTCACTTTGAGAGGATTTTTGAAAGGATCAGGGACTTTTTTCCTGCAGCAGATTTTGTTTTGCATGTAACAGAATTCAATAAAACCGCATCAAAAAACACATGCATTTTGTGTGTACATGCATTTTTGGTGTGTTTCCTGCATGGAAACAGACACCTCCCCCTAGCAACATTAAACACATTACAAAAAAGCAAAATGCATAAAAAAAAAAAAAAAAAAAAAAAAAAAAAACACATTAAAAAATTAATGTGAAAAAAATTGCAAAAGGCACCGAGAAAACGCATCAACCGCAACCTACATAAGTGTGAACCTACCCTGACTGCTTGCCTTCCTTTGCCACAACACATACGTCATAATTTAGTTACCTGTGACTCAGTAAAGTATTAACGAACAGCCTACCCTGCACCACACTGCCTTTGTACTGACCTCTTACCCATAAGCCTGGGTTCACATATATGCTGTGTGGTATATCACATGTGATTCGCACAGGAACCGCACACCTGTGTAAATTACATGCGATTTGTGTGCAGTGCGATTGGAGCCATACATTTTGTATGGTTCTATTTGACCCGCACCAAAACCATGTAGGACCCTTTTTTTGGGTCCGCACTAGAATCGGATTGCATAGGAATTCACACCCATGTAATCAGATTCTGCACATCGCACCGCGTTTTGCGGACCACTTATTGGGGGTGCTATTAACATACACACCTGCAGCGGTTCACATGAACGGGGTGCGATTCTGATGCAGTGTGGAATTCACACTAAAAAACACTGAGAATTCTGCACCGCATCAGTGTGAACCGGGGCTAAATGTACACTGCCACTTTGAGTTACATCCACCGGAAGCCCTTCTGCCGCTCGACAGGTTTTACAGGCAAGTGTGACCAAATCACTGAAGAAGTGTAGCAGTACGGCTACTTTCACACTGATCCACTGCAAAAATGCATAAAAAAAATGCATAGGTGTTTCTACCGCACTTTTTTTAAAGGACACGCGACTTAAAACTGCACCAAAAACACCTCAGAGGCAGTTTCCAGGCATTTCCCATTGATTTCAATGGGAAGGTTTTTTTTTCTTTTTTTTCTTTACTCCCCAAACATGCCCCAAAGCTGCTGCAAGCAGGAGTTTTTTTACACCGCATCACAAGCACAACGCCTCAGTGTGAAAACATACATAGATGTACTTTCACATACACAGGGAAGCAGTTTTCTTGAGCTTTTCATGCGCTTTTTTTTTTTTAATACAAAAGTGCTTCAAAAACTCCTCATTGTGAAAGTAGCCTTAGAAATAAGTGCAAAAAGACTGAAGTGACCTCAAAGGAAATGCAAGCTTAGGAAAAATGCACTGCAATGCATGCAAAAAAAGTGTGTGATAAATGCACGTCACTGTGCATGCAAAACACAGTTTCTGGTGTGTACGGGCGCTAAATAAAAGACTAACGATGGCCATACACTCCTCAATTTTATTATCCAATTAACATATCAAATCAAATTTACAAACTGAGTGCCGATTCACACTTATGCGAATTCCATGCAGATCAGATGCGATCCGAAAACCATAGATTTGCATGTCATCTTCAAAATATAATTTCCAATGCAGGCTGTTCACATATATGTGATAAGTATTTGATATGGTCCAAAAAAGGGTCCTGTGGGAGTTTAGTGCGGGTGTGGTGCAAATTTCATCTCCTGCTGCACCCAGTCCCCTCAGAAATCGCATTTAATTTGCACCTGTCACAGCAAAAATGGCACTGTGGTACTGCACTATAAGGCTAGGTTCCCACCTATGTAGGTTGCGTTTGAGCCGTTTCTGCATTGCATTTTTGCACTTGTATTTTTGGCCTGTTTTTGCATTTTTTGCCTTTATTTTTAGATTTAAAAATGCAAAATTCATCAAAAACACATTAAAAAAAATGCAATACATGCTTTTCTGCAGCATTTCCATTGAGATCTATAGAAACAAAAATGCAACTTTTTTCATTAAAAAAAGTCCCTGACCCTTTCCAAAAAAAAAAAAAAAAAAAAAAAAAAAAAAAAAAAACCATGCCGGGTGCAAACACACAGATGTGAACATGTCCCATAGGAAATCATGTTAAATGGACTGTACTGTATTTCTGCAAAACGCTGCAGAAAACGCTTAGGTGTGAACCTAGGGTGAAACCGCATCAGTGTGAACTGGTACTGAATAGTCACAACTATCCTTCTGACCAATTTGTATTGAATTTAACTGGCCAGAGTGGAAAATGATTGATGCTTTGCATCAATCGGCAAGATCGAGATACTTTGTTCATGAATACGATGGTATTTGAAGACAGCAGTTTATTAGATTACATGGCGGAAATGAAGATGTGACCAATATATTAGGAATATATATATTTAAAAATCACCAGCGTGAAAACCGTGAAATTATATACTAAATAAACAAATAAATGCTGCTGCTCATTAGTGTAAACACCAAAAAAAGAATATAAACATCAAAACAGCACAAATATATAAAATATACACTTCAGTGAAAAAATAAAATATATTAAAAAAAATAAAAAATGATTAATAAGTCCCACTCCAAATCAATAAAGATAAAAATAAAAAAAAATTCATAAAAATCCTTTCCAAAAAAAAAAAAAAAAAAAAAAAAAAAAAAAAAAAAAAAAACACTTTGACCTGCGTTTCCACCAAAATGGTGCTCAAATACCACACCTCACTCACCAGATATTGGGGAAAGAAACCGCCTTTTAGGGTTTTTTGGGATCCTAGACCCAGTCAATAAGCCTCCAAACACCAGATATTATTGGATCTCCCCTACTCCAGACAGGAATATAGCCAGCCTCCAACCTCCAGGATCATTAGACACTACTCTCCAGGAAAAAGTTTTGAATAATGCAGGAAAATAAACAAATATATAATGTAATACTGCAATACTCGAGCAGAATCAGTTTCCAAGTACCAAACCACTCACATTCTTAAAAAGTATAATCAGCATTTATTGTACAGACAGTCTGTGAAAACGCCCTGGAGCAGGGGCGAAACGCGTTGACGCACTTTCCGGCTTCACCATCCAACATACCACGTCACTTCCGCCTAGTGGAAATGCATGCCGGCGTGTGGCGCTCCCAGGGGCCATCTTGCTTGTGGGCGATTCTTGTGCTGTCATCTGTTGCTGACCATGAGATCTCAAATACCCTGGTGATATGGCGATTTGGCTCCATTTGAAATACAATAAATGCTGATTATACTTTTTTAGAATGTGAGTGTTTGGTACTTGGAAATCTATTCTGCTTGAGTATTGCACTATATATTGTTTTTTTTTTTCCGTGCATTATTCAAAACTTTTTCTTGGACAGTGGTGTCTGGTGATCCTGGAGGCTGGCTATATTCCTGTCTGGAGTAGGGGAGATCCAATAATACCTGGTGTTTGGAGGCTTATTGACTGGGTCTAGGATCCCAAAAAAAACCCCTAAAAGGCATTTTTTTTTCCCCCAATATCTGGTGAGTGCGGTATTTGAGCACTATTTCGGTGGAAACACTGGTCAAACTTTTTTTTTTGGAAAAAGGACTTATGAATATTTTTTTTTATTTTATCTTTATTGATTTGGAGTGGGACTTATTAATCTTTCATTTTTTAATATTTAATTTTTCACTGGAGTGTATATTTTATATATTTGCGATGTTAATATATTAGGATTGTATGTTATGATCATATTGTATCTATTGAAATCCAACTGTCTGTGTCAATTGTATGGGTTGTCAACTATGGATCGATTATTCCTGTTGGAAAAATCATTTATGGAAGTGTGTATGGCCACCATAAAGGCAGCACACTTGTAAGCAATCTGTAGGTGAGCGGAGGGGGCCCATCAGGCTCCATGAGCTGGGCATACAAGGCCAGCTGTGAGCAGTAGATGGATGCACACTGGCAGATGAAAGCAGTGCAGGGACACGGAAGTCAATGGAATCGTGCCTCTGGTGTCACCTTATCACCATCCATGCAGCCCTGTGCTCCTGCTATCACGTGTCCCCCTAATGAAAACTTCTGGGAATTGTGGTCAGCTAACCCCCTGCCCTGACAGCTGTACCTGTCTTCCTCTGGATGTTCATCCTCAGCAGATCCCCACTGGACAGGTGCTTGAGGGCGAAGTGTTTGACGATCCGATCTGACACCGTGCCTTTCCCCGACCCCGGAGGGCCCATGATCACCGCCCGGAACAGCATACGGGTCACCATCGTGCTGCACAAACTTACAAACCAGGTGGGGAAATACAAGCGATCAGGATGGCCGTGCAAGCAGAGACGAGATCTTCTGGAAGGCTGCTATTAAAAAAATACGGGGAAATCACAAAGTGAGGAATAAAAACTTAAAGAGCGAAAAGTGCAGGGCGCTCTATGGGAAGGCTGGGCTGTGATCGAGTTATTCCGCCCCCGTGCTGGTATTCAGGGCCTCCTCCTCCTTCTGTCCTTTTGACGTCTCTGGAGGGGGCGGAGACCTAAAACAAGCAGATGAGGACTCTACATTCACATCACATTCACACCTCCCGGTGATTGTACACTGCAAGACCTTCACTTCTGATCTCCCATTGACAGGAGGGTGGGGCCTCCATTGTGCACGTGAGCTTGACAGTTCAGCACTCAGGCTTTTGTTTTCTTACACATCACTCTTTTATTGTATTGATCTCACTTTGTATGGCAGAGATACACTCTTCTCTTCATCATTCTACAAGGAAAAAAGAAACTCTCTCCACACTGGTCCTGTGTGTTTGATCATAATTAGGTGTGAGCAATCTAAGCATTACTATTATATGGGCAATCCAAAAATATTCCCAAGCTTTACTGTTGGTGAACAGGTGATCCAAAAGTATACCCAAGCTTTACTGTTGGTGAACAGGTGATCCAAAAACATAACCAAGCTTTACTGTTCGTGAACAGGTGATCCAAAAATATATCCAAGCTTTACTGTTGGTGAACAAGTGATCCAAAAACATAACCAAGCTTTACTGTTCGTGAACAGGTGATCCAAAAATATACCCAAGCTTTACTATTGGTGAACAGGTGATCCAAAAGTATACCCAAGCTTTACTGTTGGTGAACAGGTGATCCAAAAATATACCCAAGCTTTACTATTGGTGAACAGGTGATCCAAAAACATACCCAAGCTTTACTATTGGTGAACAGGTGATCCAAAAGTATACCCAAGCTTTACTGTTGGTGAACAGGTGATCCAAAAGTATACCCAAGCTTTACTACTGGTGAACAGGTGATCTAAAAATATACCCAAGCTTTACTACTGGTGAACAGGTGATCCAAAAATATAACCAAGCTTTACTGTTGGTGAACAGGTGATCCAAAAGTATACCCAAGCTTTACTACTTGTGAACAGGTGATCCAAAAATATACCCAAGCTTTACTATTGGTGAACAGGTGATCCAAAAGTATACCCAAGCTTTACTACTGGTGAACAGGTGATCTAAAAATATACCCAAGCTTTACTATTGGTGAACAGGTGATCCAAAAATATACCCAAGCTTTACTACTGGTGAACAGGTGATCCAAAAATATACCCAAGCTTTACTGTTGGTGAACAGGTGATCCAAAAGTATACCCAAGCTTTACTACTTGTGAACAGGTGATCCAAAAATATACCCAAGCTTTACTATTGGTGAACAGGTGATCCAAAAATATACCCAAGCTTTACTATTGGTAAACAGGTGATCTAAAAATATACCCAAGCTTTACTATTGGTGAACAGGTGATCTAAAAATATACCCAAGCTTTACTATTGGTGAACAGGTGATCTAAAAATATACCCAAGCTTTACTATTGGTAAACAGGTGATCTAAAAATATACCTAAGCTTTACTATTGGTAAACAGGTGATCTAAAAATATACCCAAGCTTTACTATTGGTAAACAGGTGATCTAAAAATATACCCAAGCTTTACTATTGGTAAACAGGTGATCCAAAAATAAACCCGAGCTTTACTATTGGTTTATAGGTAAACAAATATACTATTTATTAACCACTTAAGAGCCACCCATAGCAGATATACTGCTACAGGGCGGCTCTGCTACAGAAAATCACGTAAATAAACGTGATTTTGCAATTCCAGGTAGGGGACGTGTGTGCTATTGGATGCTGGATATGTCAATCATCGGATCCCAGGCAAAACAAATAATTTGTAATAATAAAAATATATTGAGAATTTTTGTTAAAAAATTTTTTTGAGGGTTTTTTTTTTTAACTACTTGCCAACCACTTACCCGCATTTTGCGGGCAGCAGCTCTTGGCAAAGCGACGTAATCTTGCATCGCTTCCTATTTTGGGGTGTGAATGTGCCTGAGCCCCCCGCTGCCCTGCTTCTCGAATGACCCTGCCCCATGTGCCATCATCACATGCATGATGTCCCCGGGTGGCCCCTTACCTATTTAAGAACTGTCAAACCACCAGAGCAGGTAGACGGTGGAAGCCATCGTCTGAAGTGGAGCCTTTTTTTTTTTAATTCTTTTTTTCAAGGAGGCAGGCATCATGATTGACGTTGGATCTACTGCGGGGGACATTCTTTTAGTTTTTTCTTTTAATAAAGGACTTGTCAAAGACCGTGTCCTGTATTTTTTCACTCTACACTTTCTGTTTATTGTGAATGAGTATCGGGACCATGTACCCAATACTTCACATGGGGGGGGTGGGATCTGGGGGCCCCCTTGTTAAAGGGGGGTTCCAGACTCCGATAAGCCAACACAGCCATCCCAATCAGTGTGCTTACAGTAAAGCACACACACCCCACCCCCTAGTAAAACACTCCCAACACATAGTTATCCCTTTGATCGCCCCTCACATTAACCCTTTCCTGCCTAGTGCCATTAGTACAGTATCAGCAATGATCACTGTATTGGTGTCACTGGGGATGTCAGTGACACCAAGTTAGTTCCCCCCCAGTGTCAGAATGTCCGCCGCAGTCCTGCTATAAGTCGCTGATCGCCACCATTACTAGTAGAAAAAGAAAATCCCAATATCTATACCGCCATTTGTAAATGCTATAACTTTCCTGTAAACCAATTAATTTACACGTATTGGGATTTTATTTTAGCAAAGACGTCGCAGAATACATTTTGGCCTAAATTGATAACGAAATTTGATTTTTTAAATTTTTTTTAACTGGACATGTTTAACCTCTCTGGATATATTTACCGAGTGTAGCTCAGGGTAAAGTTTCAGCACCACAAGTGGTAACCCCGAGTTGCACTCGGGAATACCTTGCAGCGTTGCACCGGGATCTCTTCTTCACTTACCTTGTCCTGCGCTCCCGCGATGTCCCTCCTGCAGTGTCCCCTGCAATGTCTTCCGGCGGATGCCAGCATCTGTCTTCTGGGTTCCGTTCCCTGTGATGTCAGGACGTACGGGGACGAAATGGCGGGAAATTTAAAAATGTGAAAAAGTGACCTTCACTAAATACACTAAAATCACATAGTAAAACATTACTGTATCAAAGCATTTCACATACATTTTGTCCCGAGTGCTTTGTCCTGTGCCCTGCCTGCATTTTTACTGTTCTTTCTGCCTGGAAACTGAGAAATGTCCATGGAGTCCAAAAAGCATCCCTTTAGGTCAAAATCGGTTTTAGACCAGCTAGAGAACAGCGATAGTAAAGTAGAACTACTTGCAGAATTGAGTGATAATGATTCGTGGGGAAATTCATCATCAGACACTGAAAATGATTTTGCGACTTTGCCCAGTGATGTGCGAACTTGGCGCTATATTTCAAATTTCAGTGTTTTTGGTTTGATTACATTATTGAATTAAATGTATTATTATTATTATTTTTTATGATTATTTATAAATTATAATTTATGATTTTGTGTTTCAAATTTTAACATACCCGGGATGTTTACTAGACTCTTGTTCGGACAGATTTCAGTGAATTATTCCTAAAAATTACAGGCCTACAATAAAAAAATACATATTTCCATGAAAAAAATGTACCGCTTTGAGCACAGACATATGGACATAATCAGACCGCTAGGGAGGTCCAAAATATTGTTTTTTTTCCTCAAAATTGTCTGTGTTTTTTTGCTTATAAAAAGCGCACAGGCGATCAAATACCAGCAGCGTTGCATGACCGCGCAATTGTCAGCTAAAGTAACACAGCGCCGTAACGCAAAAAATGGCCTGGTCAGGAAGGGGGGTAAATCCTCAGGAGGGCAAGTGGTTAATATGCAATCCAAAAATACACCTAAACATTACTATTGGTAAACAGGTAATCCAAAAATATACAGTTGCAAGAAAAAGTACATGAACCCCTTGGGATTACGTGGAGTTTTGCATGAATTGGGCATAAAATGTGCTCTGAACGTCATCTAAGTCACAACAATAGAAGAACACAGTCAGCTGAACATAATACTACACAAACATTAGATGTTGTCATGATTTAATTGCACAAAACATGTAAACATTCACAGTGCAGGGAGGAAAAAGTATGTGAGGCCCTAGCTTAATGACTTCTCCCAGAGCTAATTGGAGCCAGGAGTGAGCCAACCTTGACTCCAATCAGTGTGATGATATTGGATGTGTTGCTGACAGCTGTCCTGCCCTTAAAAAACACACACCTGTTTTGGGTTTACTGGTTTCAAGAAGCACTGTTGGATGTGAACCATGCCTCGCAGAAAAGAGCTCTCAGAAGACCTACGATCAAGAATTGTTTGACTTGCATGAAGCTGGAAAGGGTTACAAAAGTATCTCCAAAAGCCTTGATGTTCATGTGTCCACGGTAAGACAGACTGTCTACAAATGGAGAAAGTTTAGCACTGTTGCTACTCTCCCTAGGCGTGGTCGTCCTGTAAAAATGACTGCAAGAGCACAGCGCAGAATGCTGCATGAGGTAAAGAAGAATCCCAGAGTGTCAGCTAAAGACCTACAGAAATCTCTGGCACATGCTAACATTTTTGTTGACACATCTACAATAAGGAAAACATTAAACAAGAATGGAGTACATGGGAGGACACCACGGAGGAAGCCATTGCTGTCCAAAAAGAATATTGCAGCACGTTTGAAGTTTGCAAAAGAGCACCTGGATGTTCCACAGCACTACTGGCAAAATATACTGTGGACAGATGAAACCAAGATTGAGTTGTTTGGGAAGAACACACAACACT